TTTTTTCATTTTTTCATGAAATCCAGTGCAGCTGAGGTCCTGTTTGTGCGTACTTTAATTTAAGTAATAATACTTTTGCAATTCGTACATCCAATACAAAAATTTTTCACCGAATGGAAATATGATAAAACAGGAGGCTTTAGCATCGCCTTAAGAGGATCCTAAAGCGAAGTTCGAACTCCGGTGAAATCACCAGAGGTCGTGCCACGCGCCGCGCATTGACATGTCTTTATATACTACCCATCAATATCTCACGCAACCTATGATACACGCAGTTGCACATTCGTGTCAATTTTCGTATAACAAATTCGTCGCGATAAAGCATCTAAGTCTAATTCTAAGAATTCGACATTGTTTGTTCGTGTAAACTACGTGTCTGGGAACCACTATTTCGTACGTACAGGTTGCAAAGCTTTCATATCAAGCAAATGTTGTCACGACTTGACAGCTGAGACGCCATGTTACACTTTAGGAATAGTAAAAAACAAAAACATAGAGAATGTATTGCGCGATCCTATCTTAAGTAGTATGGTCGTCAAAAACGAGAGAGAGGGACTGTGGAAGACGGCCAATCTTTATCTTTTTCCATTCAACGATATAACGAGAGAGAATGAGAGGGAGATTGGCCGTCTTCCACGGTCCCTCTCTCATTTTTGTCGATTATACTACTTATAGCGTTTTTCACTGGCAGAGCTAGTGCGCACTCAGTGCACTTTAAAGCCGTTGTACACAAATCGACATAAAAATGTACGTTTAATAAAAATATAGAAATGAATTAAACCACGAAATCCTTAATACATTTTATTGTGATATTTGATAAACTATACATTGAGTATTTTATTAACTGAGATTTCTCACTTTTACAGTCAGATTAGGTTAATATACAACAGCTTTAATGTGCACTGAGTGTGTACCGGTTCTGCCAGTGAAAAACGCTATAAGTTTTCTAGTGAAACAGTGTACACACCAGACTGTTACCAACGCCGATTAACTTAATCGACGATTAACTCAATCAGCAATGCAGTCAACAGCAAGACTATATCGTCCTTAACTTTATCTCTTCGTGATATACTTCTATCTCTGCGTCCCTATACTTAATTGTGATAAAAGTAATGAAAATCTTCTATCTATAATAGTAATTCTACTGATTGCATGAGTTAATCATCGATTAAGGAGGTTGTAAGGAGAATGCAATATGTTAAGAATTGCTTGAAATTTGGAACATAGCTTTATCTACAAAGCATGCTTTTATGTAAATTTTTTCAGATTTTTTGACCAGTGCATTTTTCTGTAAATTAATAACAAAATTCTGGATTTTATCTAGAATAGACTATCTCTTTCTCTTATAGGAGACTCGATTCTATGTATTTGTTTTTAATAAATATTAATATTTGAAATGTTAAGAATCGAAAAAATTTATGTTTAATATATAAAGTATAGCATATTAAAAATATATTTGAAGATTAAAACAACTTTTACCACTCAGTTTATTAACAATAGTAAAAAATATAACCAAAGACGTGATACTTCTGCCATTGAAACTGTTTGATGGAGAAAATGTGGCAACGTTGTTTCATCATCGCGAATCAAGAATATTTTATCAGTTGAATAGTGCCGTCAAAGTCTTACTACAAATGCTTCTAAGCATTTGATTTACTAATCACAGAAAAATAATTGTACTAAATGATTTGTCAAAGAACGCTTCAAAACATTTATAGCAGGCCTGTCCAACACTTTGCTCATGAGTCGAAAACGCTTTCCCCACTCCATCTCAGTAGAGCGAGACGGAGCGAAAATAACAAAGGATAGGTGTCAAGGCTCCGCCTGAATTCAGGTCTGTCCGAGATTCATAGAATAAAGATTCATAAAATGTATAGACAGTTATTTAAGCATACAATTATGCCAGGAAAAAATGTTTTATATATAATTTTATGTAATTGTGTACATATGGACACATTTTATATACAATTATATATAATTATGTAAATAGTTAAGTACAATTATATTGTTACGTCCGAGGTTCCGCATGCATGGAACCTGAGGGGGTGGACGCAACGCTAACCGAACCGCCGTATCGTCGGTCCTAGCTCCGGACCGCAAGAGAGCTAGGGGAGGGACCGACTCAACGGGAGGCACTTCGCTTCGCCCTTTGGCCACTTGGTAGAGCCGGGGGTTCGAGGGAGGATGAAGCGGAAGCTTCTCTCGAGATCGACGCTCGGCTGAGTGCCGCTCGAGGCAAACGCACAGGCTAAAGGCCGGGGAACTGGGTCAGTGTGCCATAGGGGCACACTTCTATCCTAGTTGGGTCAGTGCGTTCGATGCCCTTTTTTTCGGCCTTGGAAATAAATCTAAAGAGCCGGGGATTGGACTAAGTGCAATCGTGGTGTGACATTATGAATACGAGGAGATGTTGCTCGGAAATAAAATAATTAGGGTTTAATAATTATGTAATTAAAATTTGAGTTGCCATTACATTATATTTGTTCATATATAAAATAATAATATATGTATGAGTGTGTGTGTGTGTGTGTAGGAGGAGATGTTGCTCGGAAATAAAATAATTAGGGTTTAATAATTACGTAATTAAAATTTGAGTTGCCATTACATTATATTTGTTCATATATAAAATAATAATATATGTATGAGTGTGTGTGTGTGTGTGTGTGTATAAAAAGGAGTAAATTACGGAGAGGATAGCGAGAGAATAAAAAGGAAGGAGAGTTTTGGTGAGTGGATCTGAGAAGGTTTGGCCGAATTTTCTTTGAATGATGATAGTATTAACGCGGACACATCCGGTCGATAGGAGCGAGCAATTATCGCGAGGGGGATAGCGACGGGGATTGAAGTTATAGCGTGAATAGACCGCAATGTTTTATTTTCTTTTATGTGGGAACTAAAAAGGGAGTAAGAAAGAAAGAAATAAATAAAAACGATTAAATAGCAAAAAATGAATAACTGAAAAGAAACTAAATGAAATATTGAAATGAATTACTGAAAGAAAAACGGAGAGAGATTGGAGAATAGAAATATATTGACTTACTACTGAGATGCTCATCGATGGAAGTTCTCCGGGCAGGATGTGCGAGGTTGA